CTCAAACGTGGAGCTTAATTAAGCAAAGAGAGAAGGAGCATACGGAATCCAATTCAGATTGGTTTGATCATTGGGACTTAGCCCTAATGTATTTAGAGGAGTCAAATGAAAGGTTTTGACCCCAGAGAATTCACTCTCATTCGCAAAGTTATCGAGGGTATCGAACAAAGATAGGATTTCAGAAACAACATTCACCAATATGAAGTGGATTTGGGCTTCCGAAAGTTATTATACAAAATGCAAAGATAACTTGTGCAGATTCGTAGTTTGAGCGTAAAGGGGAAGAATGCTAGAAATATTTTGTTATGCTTAACTTTGTATTTGTGTAGTGAAAAGTACTTTGTATTAGCTAATGTATTTAAACAACATTGTATTATTTATGACATATTTATTTCTTACGCCTCCTAGACTACACAGTTTGATCCCCAGACATATTTAATCTGTAGGGTTAAGCATAAGTAACAATCGATTATTCACTTAGCATTCCTTAAGCTTCAGATAGAGAGAGCCACCACTCCTGAGTATTATAATTCCTTGATCATGATCATTGTGAACATCATTGTTTAATATTTAAGATACAATCATCTATTATCTATTCTTTGTTTTTTTGTTTGGATACCTGAATTCCTACAATTGGTATCGTAACAGAGTGTGTTATAACGATTGAATTCATCTGCGATTTATTAGACCCTATTTCACGAACAAAGAGATGATTGTGAACTCTTTTTTAAGGAGACATCGTAAACCTTCATTCAAAAAGGATAAGATCATAAACTTCTACACTTCACGAATCTATAGAAAATTTTCTAAGGTTAATAGATTAATAGATGTATCCATCTTTAAGGTTTTTGATACAACATGGGCTTCATGGTCCAAAGTAAACTTTACCGCCCTCAGAATTTTACAATACAAGCATGTTTCCAACCCTATTTACTTCACAGTCCCGAAAGCTTTGCGATCCTTTCAAGTTTTCAGGCTTTCATCTTTAAGGCCCAATAGGTCCCGACTCTTCATGTGTATGGTTCAACAGCTTTATGGGTCTCCAACTTTAAGATACAAAGACTTCACGCTTCACCAACATTAAGGTCCATAAAAGTATTCACCTGCTTATTTACTTCTATCAACACAACACGTGAACGATCCACATTCAACAATCAGCTATGAATGCTTACTCTATGGGAAATGATATCAAGCTACCAATTATTCGAGAAGGAGAACACAAAAATATGGAGAAATATGCTCATTAACTTTCTAGAGAGCAAAGATTAGGCAAATGGAATGATGTCCTCAAATACTGAAGGACCTGCACGATTCCGGAAACTGTCCCACGTGCTCCTGAAAACAATCCTCCTATTCTTAATCTAAAGAAGTTGAAGACACCGATGAATATACCAGGACAAGAAAAGGTTAGAGGCAGAACTAACTTAACAACCAAGATCGATTTGATGCTAGCTAACCTGAATGACATATACATGCAAATTGACAGTAGATTGGTTAAGCCCAAAGGAGATGTGGGATGAAATCTAAAAGATGGTGCGAAATTTTGAAGTTGGAGTTATAGAAAAGAAGGCTAATATGTTGACTGTTTATGTCTCGTCCAAAGCCAAATAGAGAGATGCTATTGACGATACTTATCGGCACTTGTTGACTCTCATCAACGACATGAGAATGATAAACGTCTTCAAAATGAATATGAATATTACATTCATTTCCTCTCATGATTGTTGCCTGAATGGAAGAAGCTTGATACACAAATAAGCATGACAAGGACCTCGATGACATGGACATTCACATCGTCTTCAAGTTTAGCTAAACCTGTTGATGACATCACCGAGACTCGTAGTGATTCCAAAGTAAAGCCGGGTGTGGATCATCCTGGTCTTGTAGTTGGCAAGAAACTCGAGAGAAGCTCTAACAACCTTGTTGCATTTGTTAGTCCCAAAAATTATACAAAAACTACACATAAATATTCGGCTTCACCATTCATCGCAATGAGAGAATGGATTTGACCATAACCAACAAAGATAACTCTACTAAGTAGAATTAGTCTGAATCATCGATTTGATCAACCACCAAAATGGAAACTTTGTCATAGTAAAGCGGTGGTTCAGGAGGAGGACAAATAACTAAGGCCTTAGAGCCATCAATATTGGAAGTCAACAACTTGGATAAATCAGAAAGTTAACTTGTGCAGATTCGTAGTTTGAGCATAAAGGGGAAGAATGCTAGAAATATTTTGTTATGCTTATCTTTGTATTTGTGTAGTGAAAAGTAATTTGTATTAGCTACTATATTTTAACAACATTGTATTATTTATGACTCATTTATTTCTTACGCCTCCTAGACTACACAGTTTGATCCCAAGACATATTTAATTTGTAGGGTTAAGCATACGTAACAATTGATTATTCATTTAGCATTCCTTAAGCTTCAGATAGAGAGAGCCACCACTGCTGAGTATTATAATTCCTTGATCATGATCATTGTGAACATCATTGTTTAATATTTAAGATACAATCATCTATTATCTATTCTTTGTTTTTTTGTTTGGATACCTGAATTTATACAATTGGTATCATAACAAAGTGTGTTATAGCGATTGAATTCATCTGCGATTTATTAGAGCCTGTTTCACGAACGAAGACACGATCGTAAACTCTTTTTTAAGGAGACATCGTAAACCTTCATTCAAAAAGGATAAGATCATAAACTTCTACACTTCACGAATCTAGAGAAAATTTTCAAGGTTAATAGATTAATAGATGTATCCATCTTTAAGGTTTTTGATACAACATGGGCTTTATGGTCCAAAGTAAACTTTACAGCCTTCAGAAACTTTACAATACAAACATGTTTCCACCCCTATTAATTCACGATCCCGAAAGCTTTGCGATCCTTTCAAGTTTTCGGGCTTTCATCTTTAAGGCCCAATAGGTTTTGACTCTTCATGTTTATGGTTCAACACCTTTATGGGTCTCCAACTTTACGATACAAAAACTTCACGCTTCACCAACTTTAAGGTCCATAAAAGTATTCACCTGCTTATTTACTTCTATCAACACAACACGTGAACGATCCACATTCAACAATCAACTATGAATTCTTACTCTATGGGTATTGATATCAAGTTACCAATTATTCGAAAAGGAGAATACAAAAATATGGAGAAATATGCTCATTAACTTTCTAGAGAGCAAAGATTAGGCGAATGGAATGATATCCTCAAATACTGAAGGACCTGCATGATTCCGGAAACTATCCCAGGTGCTCCCGAAAACAATCCTCCTATTCTTAATCTAAAGAAGTTGAAGACACCGATGAATATACCGGGACAAGAAAATGTTAGAGGCAGAACTAACTTAACAACCAAGACCTATTTGATGCTAGCTACCCTGAATGACATATACATGCAAATTGACACTAGGTTGGTTAACCCCAAAGGAGATGTGGGATGAAATCTAAAAGATGGTGCGAAGTTCAGATGTTGGAGTGATAGAAAAGAAGGCTAATATGTTGACTGGTTATGTCTCGTCCAAAGCCAAATAGAGAGATGCTATTGACGATACCTATCGGTACTTATTGACTCTCATCAACGACATGAGAATGATAAACGTCTTCAAAATGAATATGAATATTATATTCGTTTCCTCTCATCATTGTTGCCTGAATGGAAGAAGCTTGATACACAAATAAGCATGACAAGGACCTCGATGACATGGACATTCACATCGTCTTCAATAGTTTAGCTCAACCTGTTGATGACATCACCGAGACTCATAGTGATTCCAAAGTAAACCCGGGTGTGGATCATCCTGGTCTTGCAGTTGGCAAGAAACTCGAGAGGAACTCTAACAACCTTGTTGCATTTGTTAGTCCCAAAAGTTATACAAAAACTACACATAAATATTCGGCTTCACCATTCATCGCAATGAGAGAATTGATTTGACCATAACCACCAAAGATAACTCTACTAAGTAGAATTAGGTTGAATCATCGATTTGATCAACCACCAAAAAAGAAACTTTGTCATAGTAAAGCGGTGGTTCAGGAGGAGGACGAATAACTAAGGCCTCAGAGCCATCAATATTGGAAGTCAACAACTTGGATAAATCAGATCCCGCCAGACTTACCAACCATGAGTAACAAAAATTCACTACTCGATCAGTTACACGGATGAGGAATACCATGACCTTTTAGACATCGTTAGGAGAGAAACACAACTCACGCTCACCTGAAGAGGATATAACTCTCAGCCATATCAGAAGCTGAACAAAAACTAGAACTCCGAAAGTGATAATCTAAGAAAGACCGACACATAGGAAAATCCATATCGATGTATCTTATTGTTATTATTTATTATTTATTTAATTAACTCATGGCCAATAATTGTGTGTCCGTAGATTGTAGCATGCACAACTCTCTTTATATACGGAGTATTTTATACCACAATAATACACCATGGGAAAAGATCACGTGAGAAGTGTGGCTTAGGCTGAGAACTTCGAAGTTTAACTAATAGAGACAATAACATAACTTATATAACAGAGATCATAACTTCTAAATCCAACAAATCTAAATCAAAAGTATAATTTTATAGTGATAAATTGAGGAAGTATGAGATTACAATGAAAAACACTAGTAGTAGTTGAAAAATATTTACAAAAAATATTTATGAAAAAGATATTTATTTATTTACCAAGACATATACTTCATATGTCCTAATAAACTATTAATACGTTAAACATAACTTATAAAGCCAAATGCTTAAATTTTACAAATTTTTAAATTATTTCGCAGTTTTCGGCCTAAGAACACTTCTCACTTGATCCGTTCCCAATACACCATTCTAGGTCATGGATAGGGTCAAAGATACCGGCCCGGCCCATAGCAGGGACATTTAGTCCAATAACACGGGCTCCTAAATATTAAAGGCTGAAAAAAGAAAAAGTAATAGTATTAGGTATCTGCCAGCCCAAATGCGCAATAGCAATAATGCGCAATAGCCATGTCCAAGAAATTAGAGAAGAGGCGGAAGAGTCAGACAAGTCCTACTCCAGAACTCCTGCTCTTCAAGCAGCACGGCTACCCCTGATTCACAATACCCAATCGGCAACTGGGTCTGCAAGAGTGCAAGCGACAGAGGGGAGGACCTCGCCTCACGCCCGGACGCCGTTACCGCGCTAAGAAGCTACCGTGGCACGCCTCCAGCCGCCTCCGGTCCTCCAGGCCTCCGCTCGCAGCCTCGCAGGGCTCGCTCAATCGCTGAAGACCTGAAGGGCTGGTCGCTGGGATACTGCCTGGCTCTTGCTGACTGTGCTTACAGGTTTCTGACTTTCTGTTTTATCCTTTTAGTTATAGATTATTAAATTATTATCTTGTTAGTTTTTTTATGTATTGTTAATCTCCCAGATTATTATGTGATTGGGGTGCTTATTTTTGTTATTTATTAGACCTGAGTAACTTATAATCGAATTTAACTAATTAAAATGTCATTTATTTAATTAAGAAACTAGGCAATTAAACTAATTATATTTAACACGCTAGAGGAATGTCTCTAAGTAAGCTCAAAGAATCTCTCTTTTTTTAAGTGAAATGTATTTTATTAATGAATACTTTTAGTTTTACTATTATGTTCATTAGTAACTTGTATTCTAACACAAATTATCAATAATTTATCTCTATTATCATCTTTATTAAATTTTTGTTGTTGCACAGGGTACTCATTTTATCCAGACCCTTCCTAAATGGATAAGAGGAAAGGAATTCTGGTGAGCTCAAAAGCAGAGCTTAAGCGGAGGGAGAAGGAGCAGAAGAAATCTAAGTCAGGAGGGTTCGAATCGCTGGGGCTTAGCCCTAATGTCTTTAGAGGAGTCAAACGTAAGGGTTATAGAGTCCCCACACCAATTCAGCGGAAGACCATGCCACTTATCCTTTCTGGGAATGACGTTGTTGCCATGGCTCGGACTGGGTCTGGAAAAACTGCTGCATTTCTGGTCCCCATGATCGAAAAGCTCCAGCAGCACGTGCCTCAAGCTGGAATTAGAGCTCTCATACTTTCGCCCACCCGAGATTTGGCCCTTCAGACTCTCAAGTTCACCAAAGAGCTGGGTCGCTTTACAGGTCGCTTTTCTCCTCTGATATTTTGTTTTTGGGGTAGATAAGAGTTCTCGATCTCATAATCATTGTTTTAGCCTTTTCTTTTAGTTTAGCTTATGACATGTGATGGCTCAGTTCACTTCTCAGTTTCAAGTGCTTACTTGAATTTCATCGTTTTTTGTTTGTACCATAATGCAGATCTTCGTGTCAGCTTATTAGTTGGTGGTGATAGTATGGAAAGCCAATTTGAAGAGTTGGCACAAAGTCCAGATATTATAATTGCAACTCCAGGAAGACTTATGCATCATTTATCAGAGGTAGATGATTTGTCACTGCGCACGGTGGAATATGTAGTTTTTGATGAAGCCGATTGCCTATTTAGCATGGGTTTCGCTGAGCAATTGCATACAGTTCTCACCCATCTAAGTGAGAATCGTCAAACTTTACTTTTCAGTGCAACTTTGCCAAGCGCCCTTGCTGAGTTTGCCAAGGCTGGTCTTCGAGACCCTCAGCTTGTGAGGCTTGACTTGGAGACTAAGATAAGTCCCGACTTGAAGCTTACAATTTTTACTCTAAGACAGGAAGAGAAACATGCTGCTGTGTTATACCTGATTAGAGAACAAATTAAGTCTGACGAGCAGACATTAATTTTTGTTGCCACCCAGTACCATTTAGAGTTTCTTAACATTCTCTTGAGAGATGAAGGTATTGATGCCTCTGTTTGTTATGGAAAAATGGATCAAGATGCCCGCAAAATCCACGTTTCAAAGTTTAGGGCAAGAAAGACAATGCTTCTCATTGTGACTGATATCGCAGCCAGGGGTATTGATATCCCATTGCTTGATAATGTCATTAACTTTGATTTCCCTTGCAAACCTAAACTCTTTATCCATCGAGTCGGTCGAGTTGCACGGGCTGGTCGAACTGGTGCTGCCTATTCTTTTGTCACGCCCGAAGACATGCCTTACTTATTAGATCTTCATCTTTTTCTCTCGAAACCAATCAAGGCTGCTCCATCTGAGGAAGAAGTTTTAATGGACATTGATGGGGTCATGTCCAGAATGGATCTAGCCATTGTGAACGGAGAAACTGTGTATGGACGTTTCCCCCAAACAGCGTTAGATCTCCTCTCGGATAGAGTTAGAGAGATCATTGAGTCATCTACTGAGCTGATTTCTCTACAAAAACCGTGCAAGAATTCATTTCGAATTTACTCAAAGACAAAAGCAAAGCCTTCTAAGGAATCTGTTAAGAGAGCAAAAGAACTTCCTCGTGAAGGATTGCATCCACTTTTCAAGCATGTTCTCGGTGGTACTGAGTTAACAGCATTAGCCTTTTCTGAACGTCTAAAAACCTTCAGGTGAATCTAACATTACTCCTATTACTTCTTTTGACTTTTCGTGAAACATGATTTTGTTCATTTCATTTTTAACATGTTTCTTTGTTTTAGACCTAAGCAAACCATCCTGGAAGCCGAAGGTGAAGCCGCTAAGTCTAAACATCAAGTAATGTTTCTCTTTCATTTAATTGTTAGTCGATATTTTTTTAATATGATAGGGTGCATGTCTGACTATGTTTCATTTACATTCAAAAGGTTTCGATAAATGTGAACTTTACAGTTTTGCAAGGAGACATACATTTTGACAAGCCTTTATGTTTATGGTTTAAGATTAGGCTAGTGAAGGTTATAACGAATTCAAGAAATTGAGTAAATGATAGAGAGCGGGAAGAGCATGAGGCGGGACCGGGCTTGGGCCCACTTCCGTGGGCCGAGTTAGGGCTGTCGTTATAGTTTAATTATTATTATTATTATTATTATTATTATTATTATTATTATTATTAAGTTAATGTTATGTTTTAGTTTGGGCCTATTATTAGTAGAGTAGTTAGTTGAGTTAATTTGGGCCTAATTAGGGTTTAATTAATATGGGCTTGATTAGGGTTTCTTGTAGAAGGCTATTTATACCCCTCGCCAGGGTTCATTCTTATTATCTTGGAATAAAGTTAGAGTTTAGCCTTTTGGCTTTGGGCAACGGTATTTTTATCGTTGATTATCTGGTCAACGGTTCACCCCGTTGATTTCTATTTTTCTGTTACATATCAATTGGTCCGACCTGCTGGATCCCGTCCCGCCGGAATGATGAGATCAACCAACGAACGTTTATCAGAATTGGAGGCTGAACAGGCCCTAATCAATCAAAAACTTGACACGCAAGGACAGAAACTTGATCTGCAGGGACAGAAACTTGACACACAAGGTCAGAAACTCGAAGAGCAGGCCGCCCAGCTTGCGGAAATCGCAGCCTCTCTTGCAGCAATCGCGAAGGCCATGGTGCCGCCGCAGAAATCTCCCATCGCGACCGTCGAGAGCGATTCCTCCGGCCACGTCGCATCTGTCTTCTCCGATGATGGCGGACTGCGCACCGCAGCCACAACGCTACTTCCCTCGTTCGATGGCGAAGACCCAATTGGGTGGTTGGCGAGAGTGGAGCAGCAGTTCGAGCTCAACAGGACCCCACCAGACAGACAAGTTGCAGCGGCTAGGGTTTCTATGGAAGGGGTTGCCCTCTATTGGGTGACGTGGTTAAAGGCACGCAAACCTGGCATATCCTGGGAGGAATTTAAGCAAGCCTTGGTGGCCAGATTTGATTCCCGATATCAGGGAAACATGTTTGAACGGCTGTCCGGCGTCAAACAAATTGGGTCGGTGGAGGAATACAATACCTTGTTCGTTCAATTGGCTAGCCAAGTTCCGGGATTGACCGACGATCATTATTTGGGCTACTACATGAGTGGACTTGGGGAAGCAATCCGAAGTTCGCTGCGCTTATTACGGCCAGAAAACCTGGAGACAGCCATGGAATTAGCTCGCGATGTGGAGCATAATCTGTCCGTCCAAAGTGGAGGAAGTGGCAGCCCGAATTATATTTCTGCAGGGGTACGTTCCAGCAGCTTTTTAATGGCAAACACGGGTCCTCCTTTGACTGCCAGTGGTGGCGGCAGCTTGCAGGGATCAAGGGACAGCTTTGCGAAGGATAGTGGACAGCCTCCGGGGACGAAGTCAGGGCTGTCCGGGCAGCCTACGACACGCTCTCAGTTCACTCGTCTTCCGCCAAAGGAGTTCGCAGAATTGAGGGCGAAAGGATTATGCTTTAGGTGTAAGAAACCATTTACACCGGGGCACGACTGTCCCTTTAAGCAGCTGCGGGTAATGATAGCCGAGGAGGAGGAAGAGTTAGACCTCCAACAGCATGAGTACTGTGAAATAACTGGCCAGGAAAGAGTTCAGGAAAGAGAGAAAGGATATTTTCCAGTCTGGGAATTTCAGCTCCCCATCTGTCTGCTTTCAACCTTGAGGACAAGGTTATTTTGAAGGAGGATGGATTGATAGAGAGCGGGAAGAGCATGAGGCGGGACCGGGCTTGGGCTCACTTCTGTGGGCCGAGTTAGGGCTGTCGTTATAGTTTAATTATTATTATTATTATTAAGTTAATGTTATGTTTTAGTTTGGGCCTATTATTAGTAGAGTAGTTAGTTGAGTTAATTTGGGCCTATTTAGGGTTTAATTAATATGGGCTTGATTAGGGTTTCTTGTAGAAGGCTATTTATACCCCTCGCCAGGGTTCATTCTTATTATCTTGGAATAAAGTTAGAGTTTAGCCTTTTGGCTTTGGGCAACGGTATTTTTATCGTTGATTATCTTGGCAACGGTTCACCCCGTTGATTTCTATTTTTCTGTTACATATCAATAAATTCAAGCCACACTCAGTAATTGAATATAGTAATGTATATTGTATTATATGCTTCTGTTTCATGCCTGATCTCAGTAATAGTTAAAACTATTATCTAGTATGTTTAATTGACAAGTGGAATTGCAGGGTAATCATTGGGTTGATGTGATGAAGATGAAAAGAGCTGTCCATGAGGAGGTCATAAATAAAGTTCGCCAACAGCGCCTGAGTGATCATTTGTCTTTGACAAAGCTTTATGTAATGGTTCCATCTCTTTGTCTTATGAAAAGGGCTTTCTGTAATAGACCCATTTATAGGTTCAAGTCTTGCTCCTTGGGAGCAGCCTCTTGTCAGAATGAAAAGGAAAGGCTTGCTCATTGGACACCCTTGTGGTGGGATCATTCCCCGGATCCTCGTTTTACGGGGATGCCAGTGTGCACTGGGCTGCCCTTTATACAAGGGCTATACACACGGTTTTTTGCTGCTTGTTTCTTTCTAAGGATGATCATTCATCATTGGTCTCCCATTCTGTTATTTTTCTCCCTATTTCATGTCATCACCTCAAGATTTCAAATGGTTGCTTTTTAGTGATTTCGCTATTTTAAACTTGATTAAATGTTTGCTATATTTTAGGATGATACTGATGACTGCATATCCACACGAGTCAAGGAGAAACAAGGTTATCGTCACTGTTTACCTTCTTTACATTGAAATTCAAATATGAACCTGATTAAGCGCTTTGTAAATGCACTTCACAAATTATGGGTGATAGAGTACTTACTTAGTTTTGGATATCTCTCAGGAGAATTATGAATTGGTTAGTCATTTGTATTTGTGGAACAAAAAAGAATAGGGGGTTTGATCTATGAGCTTTATTTTTTACCGAGGAACTGCATATTGCATCTCTGCTTTGTTTGATTCTTCGAATCTTCAGTTGAATAAATCTGTCCCCTTGTTTCTTTTTTGTTTTGATTACTTCAATAGCTGAAAATATACAATGGAAAACTTTTTGGGGCTAATATAACCTCTCTTAAAAAAATTCTCAACCAATAATGGTGTAGCTTTCCGAGTGGAGATACCATTGTTCTGGAAGGATCTACTAAAACCCTTCTCTGTTTTGTTGGTTGTTTATTTATTAGTTTTTTTTATGATCAAGGGTAATATTCAGCAACTACAATGCAGAATTGCAGAGTAAGATTTTGATGCATGAATATATTCCTTTTTAGAAATTCATTTTACTTGATTTTATTATGGCAGTTTCCGGATCTAAAAGAAAGGCCAAGAGCTTCAAAGATGACGAGTTCTTCATAAGTTCTGTTCCAACGAATCAGGTACAGAGTATGATTTGAGATATATGCGTTATTGTTATGTGCTGGATCTCTCTCTGTTTGTTGTTTCGTTGGGAACACTGATTTTCATTGATCCAACTCATGTCCCCGTTTCAGCATTTTGAGGCTGGACTTTCTGTGAGATCCAAGCAAGGATTCGAAACCAATAGGTATTTCTATCGAAACATGCATGCATTTTTTTTTATCATCAGAAAAAAATTGATACTTCAATAATAGATATTTGATCATAGTTTGAGGCGCTCAAGTAACATTTGATGTGGATTAGGTTGGATGCCGCTGTACTAGATTTAGTAGCTGATGACAAAGATGGGATGCATAAGCAAAAAACTACATATCATTGGGACAAGGTACAGTCAAAGTTTTGAACTGTCTGCATGTTTTGTAGCTAGTCTGTTTTTGTAACACTTTGTTTTTGTTTTCAGAGGAGTAAAAAATACATCAAGCTGAATAGTGGGGATCGTGTGACTGCTAGCGGAAAGGTTACTATTTTTTTTTTTCATTTAACTGCCAATTTGTATCTCTGAGTGTACAATCAGTGTCAGATTTCCATTTCATTGGATCTTTTGCTATTTGTCTGTTGAATTTTTGCATAACGATTTAAAATGTTGTGTTACATGTGGACAGATCAAGACAGAGGGAGGTGAAAAGGTAAGAGCCAACAAAACTGGGATATACAAAAAATGGAAAGCCGTTACACACAAGAACATTTCTCTCAATGGAAACAACATGGAAAGTTCTGTTGGGGAATCAACAAGTTCAGCTGGTACGTTATTATTTTTGTACTTTTCTGGAATGGAACTACTGCATAGTCTTATATTCTTGGGGGTATTATTCTCTCTTCGCCACAAGATATTTGGATGCTGTGTTTCTCCCGTACGCAGGCAATCCTTCTGGACGGTTTTATTTGCTATGAGTTGTGTGATGCTTTTGTCTAAAAGTATTTAAAGAAACCTCCAATCTTCCTATTTTTAACTTCTCAATGCTAGTACTCCCTCCGTCCCAATTTGATGGTCTCATTTTATTTGGGCACAAGTTTTAATAAAGTGATTGAAAATGTAAAAGTTGTGGTTGAGATTTGAGTATAATAAAGTGAAATGATATGGACCACATCTTTCTTTCCAAAAAGGGAAACACGACTATAATTTTGGGACATCCCAAAAAGGAAATATAGGACCATCATTTTGGGACGGAGGTAGTATTTTGGAACCCCAAATCATCGTGTGTTTGTTTGAACAATAGGTGCTATGGGAAGAGTTCAAGGTGGCCATGCTAAGTTCCAACATGGAAGGAAGCGTCAATCGATACCCAATGCACATGTTCGGTCAGAAATCAAAGACCGTGAACAAGTTCGAAAGGAGAGGGAGAGGAAGGCAAACCGAAAAGCTCACTTGAAGACTAAATCCTCCAGCAAGAATAACAAGGGGAAGAAGTTCAAAAGAGACGGAGGGGGCAAGAAGAATTGGAATGCTAGATAGTTTTGATGTTGCAAGATTTTAATTTTAACCCCCCCCCCCCCCCCCCCCCCCCCCCCGAAATAACTGGTCTTCAAAATTTTTGACATCAACTATATATTAAATAGAGTGCATTAGTTTTGTTTATTGGATTCTGTAGGATCGGATTGAGCTATATTGAACTACTAATGTAATACTCCCTAGTCTCATCTAAAGTGACTGATAATTTTTTTTTTTGGCCAAGGAGATTCTTTGATAAATTGTACTTTTATTTTATAAATGTTGTTGATAGTTTATCTAAACTATCTTATTACTTCTGTTCTATTTATCTTTTCATGTGCTCTATTTTGACTATATTTTATTTTTTAATGCATTATAAATTTAATTTTCAAAAATATTATTAAATTCTTCCCATTTTAAATTTTCAAAATGTGAATTTTTACACATAAAGACTTGTATGTTTTTTCTCCCGAAATAGGATTAAGATGACTGTATTTACTTCCATCTTTTAGACTTTTAGTCATAATTGATAAATAGTTGCAGTACTATGCATTTAATATGATAATATTTATTTTAATTAATGACATTATTTTTTTATAATGTCATTTTTTTTCAATCATTACAATAACGACTCTTATTTCGGTAAGAAAAACATAATTGTCTTATTTTGGAATTCTCAAAGTTGTTTACTCCTATTTAGGACAACTTGCCTAATAATAATAATAATAATAATAATAATAATAATAATAATAATAATAATAATAATAATAATAATAATTTTAACTCGTTGATAAGTTATGTGAGTTTGCATTTTTTTAAAAGACCGTTTTTAAAATGTGGATCATTTATTGGCGTACTAATCTGAAACATCTTTTTAAAATGAAAAAAATTATTAGAAAGATTTAACTTAACGAGGACTTTTTTACAATCAGCACCCATGTGTCCCATATTATAAGAACTGTATCAAAATAAATTGAGACTCTTCGATTAAGTTGAACCCCATTTTTAGCCATTATTGAGTTTGCGGTCACATTTTTTAAATAATTATTGAATTGTTTGCACCCAAAAGTTAAAAAATCTTATGAATGGGGTGTGAAATCTAATCTAAAACAAAAACTAGGATGTAAAAATGAGTAATGCACCAAACTCCCTCATAATATAGAAATTTAGCGCATTAATTAGCTCCATGTGGTTTAGAAAATGTGTCAAACACGTCTGTGTTATAATTATTCACGCGCAAAATCCATTTTATGAATACATTAACAATTTCAAAATCACTTTCCTTAACTTTATGATTGAATATGCAAGTAAATTTTCAAAATCTCTAAATTATACAATAATGTTATTCATTTTACTTTTATTTGACAATTAAATTTATTAATAGAAGGGATTTTGCGCATGATTAATAATAACACAAGGAGGTTTGATGAATTTTATAAATTACAAGATTCACAGGGGTTAATGTGCCGAATTTCTATATCACAAAGGAGTTTGATGCATTAAACCCGTGTAAAAGTCAATTTAGAATGAAAGTATTAATTACACAAGTTTAGCTAAAATATGGGGTGCACATTCCAACTTCCCACTTTCCTTTTTGCAAAGTTAGAATCATCACCACAACAACAATAACATCCCAGCCTTAATTCCAAAAGATTTTTTGGTCAGCTAACATGAATCGATCCATGACATCGATGTAAAAAAAAGAAGACATACAAGAAGAAGAATAAGAAAAAAAGTAAGATAAAACGGATAAGATAAAGATAAATAAATATAAGATAACAATAACATAAGAGTATAAGGAAAATAAAAAATAAAAAGATAAAATAGCATAAAAAAGATAGAAAATAAAAATAACATAAGAACATAAAAAGATAAAGAAGATAAACGATAAAAGAAAAAGAGAGAGGAAAGATAGAAAAGAGATCAATCGTCCACACGAATGTACGCCCTCCACTAAGCTCTCTCCAAAGTCATACTTTCATCCAATCCAAGAAGATGCATATCCGTTCTGTTCCCTCGAATCCAAGTCTGTTTGGATCTTCCCCTCTCTGTCATCTGTATCTCTTCTCCCCACCTCTCAAGTCGTCTAACAGGTGCATGACTACTCGGTCTTCTACGAACATGCCCAAATCGCCGCAAACGAGACTCCTGCATCTTATCTTCTATAGGTGCTACTCCCACCTTTTGTCTAATTATCACATTCCTCAACCAGTCTTTTCTGGTGTATCCACACATCCAACGCAACATACACATCTCTGCCACACTCATCTTTTGAGTGTGACATTGTTTCACCGCCCAACACTGTACGTCATACATTAATGCAAGCCTAATTTCTGTTCGATAAATTTTACCTTTCAGTCTAGTCAACATACCTCCATCACATAGAAATCCTGATACACTCTTCCATTTCATCCACCCAACAATGATTCTATGACATACATCTCCATCTAATTCACCATCCTTTTGAATTATGAAGTCTAAGTCACAAAACATATCACACTCCAGTATCTTCTTACCATCAAGGGTAATCCCACTGTTGCTACTACTTTTACCTCCACCAAACTTGTACTCCATATACTCAGTCTTGCTTTGATTGAGTCTGAAACCCTTGATCTCCAATGTTTGTCGCCGTACAAAGTTAGAATTATCACTCATGCACTAAAATTTAAATCGTTTGTTTTTAACATTCACTAAAAAGCATAGAAGACAACATAACAAAGCTAGGTGAAAGCGATGTGAATCATAGCGGCAAGAAACAGAAGAGGCGCGCGCTGTCTCCCTGATCGGCTCGTTCCATTGCGGCGTAGGAGGGAGGCTTTCATTTGGCACTGGACTTACTTTTCTTCGACAACAAATTCTTCTCGCATCATCTTGCTTTGGTGTGATGTAGGCCTTGTTTGGTTCAAAGGAGGGGAGGGAAGGGGAGAGTCAAGGAGGGAAGGGAAGGGAAGGAGAAGGAAGGATTTTGATAAAAATTTGTGTTTGATTGAAGGAAATATAGGAGGAAAGGTTTAATGAAAATATTTTCGCAATTTACTTTTATTTGATAGCTTACATAAAAAAATAGACACATATCTAACTATTGTGAATATTACTCCTATGGTCATGAGTCATACTTTTATTTTATTTGATTTTTTACTTTTTTAATTTTATAAATTTTCATTTTTCAGTTTGGAATTTTTAATTTTTAATTTTAATTTTTTTCAATTTTTTATTTTTAGTTTTTAAATTTTTAATTTATAATTTTTAAATTTTTTAATTTTTAAAATTTTTAATTTTTAAATTTTTAAATTTTTTAATCTATAAATTTTTAATTTTTTTATTTTTTTAATTTTTCAAAACTTTTTGTTTTTTTACCTTTTTATGTTATAACGTTTTGTTCATTCACGTAAGAGTTGGATAGTTTATGGTTATCAACACGTTTCCTCCGAAATACCCCGATTTGGGGGGTTTAGAATGGGAGGAAGTGGAGGATTTTGAAAGTCTTCCACTTTCCTCCCCTTCCCCCCTATTTCCTTCAACCAAACACACACAAATCCCCAATTTTCCTCCCCTCACCTCCGAAACCCTCCAACCAAACAGGGCCGTAAGGCTACGACAGTAGTTGAGCAGTCCACTTCAGCAATTTAGGCGTGTTTCAGTCCTTTTGCTACATTGTTAGGCTGTCTTTTTTGTGTTGTTTTGTCTGGCTAAGTTCTGCAATGGCCGAGGGTTTGCTTTGTTACTGAGTTTTCTCTGGCCGATGGTTTTGGTCAATTCTATTTGTGATCGTGTTTGGGCTTTTGATCTTGAGTCTCATTGCTTCCTTTTCTCTGCCTCGAATTCGGCAATCGTTTTGTTGGACATTAATGGAGGAGAGCTTAAATCAGACTTATGAAAGAAGGTCAACCAAGGAGGTTGATGGCGAGGGGATAGAAAACGGCAAGGTGGCGACGCTCTCTGAACAATACTGCCAAAAATACTGACAAGTCGTGTACACGAGATGATTTATTTGGAGGTGGCTGGTCAAACATCTTCTTCCTTTCTGGTGGCCGGTGAAACCATGATGCTTGAATTATGATGTTGCTTTTATTTCAATTTCAATTCTAGTAGCAGGTGCATCATTGCTGTTAGTGGAGTCTTACCACATTGCGGGATTAATGAGTTCGGCCACTCTTATGCTTGATTACAACTTTGAGTCTCATCCTAGTGTAGCCTTTAATATGATGATTTTGTATTTGATTCTTGGTTTTAATATAAATCAAGTTATCTTTTTTTTGCAAATTTGCAATGCCTAAATAAAATATAAATATGAAACAATGAAGAATCATTTTTTCTATACTGCATTGGATACGAAGAGTACATGATTGAAGAATCAATTTTTATATTTCATTTAAGAACTTCGATTATATTTTTTTTTTTGAATATTTAAGAACTATTATAAATACGTAGTATGGTAATGCGCAAGGTCACACGTAATTCGAACTTGAATACATTCAAGTGTTCGCGACTTTAATTTGGTTATCAATTTCTTTTGAGTATTAATTCAACATGCATACCACATGTTTATCATATTATACGCAAATTCTTTAAATTGATGCTTTCCTGATTCTCTTTTCAAATATTTAGGATGATTTATCGAAATGGGCACCCATTTTATATAGCCTAACAATGATCCAGATTGTCAACCTATTTATTTTTTTATTTTCCTAATTTTCATCTTCTTAAGATTTGATTTATGCATTGCAGTAGACATTTTAATGTAGTTTTTAATAATGAAAATTTATAAGCAACTATTAATTTTAAGATTAGTCAAGGTTTAATTCATGTCACTACAAAAAATAATGAATTTGGTCTGAAGTCTGAACTTGACACAAATTCATCAAAATTCATAAAGTATTTGACACGAATACATTAAATTCGTGCCAATGCCATTTTGTAACGAGCTATTTAGCATGAAACTGTGCCAAAACCATGATATGATCGGTGTCAAACACAATCAATTCATGTTAACTCTGTGCCAATATTGCTATGCTTTTTTTGTAGAATATAACACTTACTCCCTCCGTCCCAATTTCTTTTGCAAAGTCAACATTTTTTGGTCAACCAATAATAAAAGTCAATCATCCATATGCATAATTAATTCAACTTTTAATAATTAAAATTTACATATTCATAAAGTACATCAAAATCTCTTCAAAGTTGCAAACTCCAAATTAGAATACAATTAAAAATTGGCATCTTAATTAAGTGATCAAAACGAAACTGTTTGACCAAGAAAAGTCAAATTTGTAAATCAATTTGGGACGAAGGTAGTATAATATAGAAAAAGGGCAGTAATTTGTTTTAAAATATTATTTGCACTTAATATTAAGTCTATTAAATTTAACGGAAGCAATAACTCAAATGCAAATCCCCTCACGCGCCCACGACATGACAACAAGAAATCACTTCATTCTCACTTTGATAGTGGCCAAGAATACATCCGGTGCTTTGTACTTCTTCCGTTCTCTTTTAATTACAATTGGGTTTTTTGCACTATTCAAATATTCTACTTTGACTATATCTTATTTATTAATGTATTATAAATTAAACATTTAAAAAATATTGTTAAATTCTTCTCATTCTAAATTTTCAAAATCTTAAATGTTTAAAGTTTTTACTAATAAGGAATATAAGATATTAATGGTCAAACTTGTGTGTTGATAAACGTGAAAAGTAGACGATTTCAATTAAAAAGGAACGGAAGAAGTATTCATTAATTAACATCATATTCTTTAATTAGTATTAAGTTATATCGTATAAAAATGTAAATTTCAATTTCCTGAACTGATTGCTGAACTTCATATTTATGATTCATTAGTTTTAACCATCAAATGGATGGTGAGTAAGTAAAGTGATTAAACTCATAATTGTTACTGATTACCACAATAATTGAAAGGTTGAAGTGATGTAATCACCAAAATAGATGTTGGTCGGACCATCGAAGCAGCTAGAATTCCTAGTGAAATCGTTCATAACAATAATTTGAACTAATATTAGAGTCCACAAGAATAGATTGCGGTTGACTCAAACTAATACCCCCGTTTCACTTTCTCTTCACCAGTCTTCACTTTTATCTTTCAACCCAGAGAAAATCACATTTGTCGAAATGACATTGAGATTAAATTAAATGGCTATTGGAGAAAGAGCGACGGAGGAAAAAATGAGAGTAGGAGTTGAGATTATTAAAGGACATTAATTTGAAAAATCTCAATTTATTCTTGTGAAAACTATTGTTAATTTGGATTATTTTTTGAACTCTTTCCCGTAGAAGTTATTATTGAATTACTTGCCAAAAGTAAGAATTATTTTTATGAAGTTCGTGAATGCAAAATAAATAAATCTCAACTTATAAAACTGCTGGTGGCTAGCGCTTACATTTAGTCATCGGTGATCTATCCCACTTTAAGTTATGATCAAATCGGGAGCCATGCACTTGCACTGTTGCAGGAAACGCTTTTTAATTGGAATTAAATTTGTTTGCAAACACTAAGCACCGGTGGCAATCTTGAGCGGCGGCTAAGGTTGGTTTTGGATCGGCAGGCATGGTGAATCGCGTGGGCAGGTCTTCTCCTCTGGTATCCATTAGTTGATTTCGTTTTTGTTTTTCTTTTCCGGGCTTTGTCCCGAGGTTTGTTTCCGGCTCATGTGACCGAGATAAGGTTGTTGTTTTGCTTTGTTTTGACGGTTGGGGTGCTTCTTTAGCGTCGAGTAGGTGAGTCCGTCCACCGTACAGCCGGGTGTACGGTAAGCACCGTACGGCCGTTGACATTTTTGTAATATAATATGAAAATCGCGAGATCTGCTATTTGAGCATTTGTGTACTGTTAATGAGCAATAGTTCAATTTTAATGAGTATTAAGAGTCTAATAATGAGCACCATGTTATTACAAGAAAGCTGTTATCACAACTAAAAAACGATGACATTTTCATAATTTCAGTGAAAATCACGGTTTTCATTAGATGAGCATTAATACACTTTTAATGAGCATCAGACGTATTCTACTAAACATTAAGAGTCGAATAATGAGTATTGTGATATTAATTTCATATATTGTAATTCACTTTCTTTTTATTATTTTTTCTTTTATAAAAACTCATTAAATTATATGTATAAACATTTCATATGAATTTCAATCAATATGCAAATCTAATATAATATGGTACTTTTGAAATATGCATTGATATGGCATTTTAAAAATGAGTATAACATGACTACCAATTGAGTATACCAACTTATAAAATGAGTATAAGTTTTTCTTGTTGAGCGAGCTACAAAACATTTTCATTGAGAATCAAACATCATGTTTTGAGTATTATAAACATGCAATTGAACATCATGATCTATATATGCTCTTGTATCTATAATCAACTCCTACGTGAATATAATGTAATATACGGAGTAATAGTTTTCAAATATGCATTGATATAACATTTTAAAATGGAATAAATTGTCCTAAATACGACTAAAACATAGTTAAAATTCCAAAACAGGATTTGAAGTCTATTATTCCCTAAATAGGACTGCTTATTACATTTTTACCCTTCCTTTAATTAAGCCCTGGATTCGCCGACTCCAAAATGAAGAAACAGAGATGCGTAGAAAGCATCCCTAATTTCCGATCTCATCTGCGATGAAGAAACAGAGATGCGTAGCAAGCATCCCTAATTTCCAATCTCCCAAAGCTCCAATGAAGCCAAATAATTTTCTCCAACTCTTTTCTCTTCTTCTCTTCTTCTCCTTCCCTTCTCTTCTCTTCCGCTCTTCTCTTCTCTCCTGTACGACTCTGGCATATTTTAGTTTTCTTGATTTTCACTTTAACACTTCTTACTTTTGAGATTATAAACAAATTATTTTGATTTAGATTTTGGATGAGAAATTAAAACAAGGTTCCAAAATTGATTCGTTTATTCATTTATATCTAGAATGTATTTGAAAATTTCACTTTTTGGATATGAGAATGCCACTTTTATGTCATCTGTTTATAGGATAATTGCATAATTTCCTATGAAAATGTCACAACTATCAATGTGAAAACGTCTTCTTTTTACAATAGAAAATGTCATCTTTTATGTGAAAATGTCATCTTTTTACAGTAGAAAATGTCATCTTTTATACGAAAATGTCATTTTATGTCAAACTGAGATTGCCATCTTTATAAGCATACTGTCATAAAAGTGACATTTTTTCAAATAACCAATAAATTTGACATTCTCAGATTCAAGAAGTGGCATTTCCTGGGAATCTGCATTCTGAGGTTCAAATTTGCTAAATAAATTAAAATTTAAATCCAGAAATATATTAAAATACAGAGGACCTAGAAGAAGATGAGAAATGGAAGAAAAGAAGAAGAAGAAGAAGAAGAGATAAGAAGGAAATTAAAAAAATTAAAATTCAGGAGACCTGGAAGAAGATGAGAAAAGGAGGAAAAAGAAGAAGAAAAGAAGAAAAGAAGAAGAAGAGATATGAATCAATTACCTGCTATGGAGAGCTTGGCGGTCGAGGTCGGCAAGAGACTATCGGGATGGTTCAGCGGCTCCCTACGGAAACCGGAGTTTTATATGGAGGGTTAATTTTGTCAAGCCACTATATTTTAGTCCTAAAAAGGTCCTAAAAACATTATAGTCATAGTTTTGCATTTTCCCTTTGTTTTACTCCCATTTAGGGAAATCTCTCTTTAAAATGAATATAACACGATTACAAAATGAGCATACATTAGTTTCCAAATGAGCAATGATATAAAAAACACAATCTTTGTTAATTAGTTGAACATCAAAACATGTTCGCTGAGCATGAGACCCCCTCTATAGAGTATCAAAAGCATACAATTGAGTATCATGATCTACTTCACACTTATATGACATTTTAAAATGAGCATAAAACCAGTACTTAATGAACAAACGTACTTTACAAAATGAGCATCGCAAAATACAAAAGCTCGTTCGAATTCTCTAATGTAACATAGTAATAAAAAATATAGTAATTTTATATTAAAAATAATTTATAGTCTTTCATTCTTGAATTACAAATATAATCAGGTTCTTTTTATAATGTTTAGTTATGATATCTGCATTAATATGACATTTTAAAATGAGCATAAAACCAATTTCAGATGAACATATGTAACTTACAAAATGAGTATCGAAAAATTCAAAAGCTCGTTTGAATTATCTAATGTGTTCAAATGTTCATTTGTGTTCAAAAGTAGTTTATATAAAAAATAATTTATAATCTTTCATTCTCGAATTACAAATATAATCGGGTTCTTTTATAATGTTTTAACCATGCATATTTATTTTTATTTTATACTATACTCATTTTAGTATAACACCAAACTCACGTTAGTTATTAACACACAATATTTAATAAACTAATAAATATTCATTTTAAATTGAAAATAGAAAAATAAAGCATTAATACCTAAAATATTTTATAATGCATAAATAAAAAGAACTTAAGTTGGAAGTTTGATTGGAGAAAGAAAAAATAAACTAAAACATTTAATAATATTTTATATTACTCCGTATAAATTTTCATAATAATTGGATATATAACATCAAAGTAAGACATTTTTTACAACCAAGTAAAACATTGTTAAAGAAATAAAGAAAAACAAAGAAGAAAACAACAGGTTAAAGCAACGGAAAGAAGAAAAGAAAAAAGACAAAAGAAAAGAAAAAGAGAAAACCAACCAGCAGTGCACTAACGAAAAAATTAAAAGAAAAAGACAAAAGAAAAAGGTAAGGAACGATCAAGCGGAACGAGAAGTCGGCGGAAGAAAGAAAAGCTTGCGAACTTAAGCCTGCGAAAATAACCGAACCGGCCTAATTATTACCCTGTAAACTACAATTAATTACCAAAATGCCGGCTGTACCATGCTCATGGTACAGCCGGCTGTACCATATAATTCACAGTGGTTTGTCTTTTGGTGCCTTTGTATTTGTTTGATTCTGCGTGGACTGCGTGTTCTTTTTACTCTAGAGGGAGTCCGGGGAGAGGCTGGGGCTTGGAATAATTAGGGCTGAAACTTACTCCATTAAATTTCAAACCCTTATATGTTTAGCGGGTTTCGAACTTGAGACCTCTCACTAGACACGATAACATTACAACCAGATGGGCTGGAATGCGCGGGTTGGTATAGTTCAGTTTTTGGTTGTTTTCAAGTTTGTGAATGTGTAGATGATGACCAAGAATTATATACACTATCCTCCGTTCTTTTTTAGTTACAACATTTCTTTTTTCACGCTAATCAGTGCACAACTTTGATCATCATTATATTTTATTCCCTATTAGTAAAAAATATTTAAAAAAATTATGAAACTTTGTAATAAAACGAATTCAACAATATTTTTCAAAAAAAAAAATAATTTACATACATTAATAAATAAAATATAGTCAAAATAGTGTACATGAATAGTGTGTAAATTTCAATGTTGCAACTTGCAACTAATATGACATGGAAGGAGTATTATAGCATGAAATCCATGTTGAGGAAGAGAATAGGGAATTGGTGCTAGCAGCAGACCCAGTGAAGGTTGAAGTCAATATGGAGGTAGACACGATTAGTTAAAAAAACGACATTGCTGCGTTGCTAGTGAATCAGCACGCCTGGAACTCCATTAGTTCTAGTTGCTGCAAGTAGGAGTATTCCTTTGGAGGTGGTCGGGCAAACCTCTTCTCCTTTTTCGATGGCTGGTCAAATCGGAATGACATCTTTGGAAGCAGGGCGGACCTATACTATATTGAGGGTTAGCACAAGCTACACCTCTTGGATGTTGCATGTGCCAGGTTCGATTCCCTTGCAAGTGCATCACTTGATTTTTTTTAACACCCTTAACTCTTACTACATCCGTCCCGTTGGAAGGTTCCCATAGCAAAACAATACGATTATTTAGACAACAATTAAATAAAGTGCTTCGAGTATATTTTGAGAAATAATTTTAATAGGTATATATTATAATGTAGTTAGTATTGATAACTGTGATGTTATAAATGTATTATTTTAATATTTAATGATCAATTTGTCACTTAAGATTGTTAATTGTTTCCTAAAATGGAAATGAGAACCTTCTAACGGGACATCCAAAAAAGGAAAGTGATAACCTTCTAATGGGATGGATGGAGTACATTGTAGGCCCAGGTAAGCTCAAATATTTGAATTTAATTTTGACTCCCTCCAAGTCAGCAGAGCGTTGAGCCTCCCACCCCGGCCTCTTGCTTTGTCCTCCGCCCAATTTCAACCTTTTAAGCTATTTTTAAGTAATTGGGCATGAGTAGTCTTTTTTCTCTACATCAGTATTTTTTAGCAATATTGCATGTGTTTTTCTCCATATTATTATTCTCTCTATGAAATGACGAAGTGAATACGAATCATTTAGGATTTTTTAAATTTCATTTTTCACTACTATAATCCATCATTTAGATATCTTTTGTATTGTTTATACATCTTGATGTACGGAGTATAATGTTTTTGTACATATACTTTTATAATATAATCATTTCTATATTATAAATAATTTCTAATAAAAATATATAGAAGGTCAAAGTTTAACTTCATTAACCAAAAGATTCAAATATGGTAAAGTTTTAAGAGACGGGGGAGGAAAAGTCGTAGTGTAATAATAATGAAGTTGGGGTCATGTTGTCGGTGTAGTGTAGTGTTGTAATTTTTTTAAACCGCTACGTACTATATATATGTACATACCCTAAACTTCGATGCCTGGGTCCACCACTATTTGGAGTTGGTAGATCAAACATCTTCTCCCTTCTCGATTGCTGGTAAAATCGGACTGACATCTTTGGAAGTGGTAGATCAAACATCTTCTTCCTTGCTGGTGGCTGGTAGAACCAGGACTTGTGCC